CATAAAAGATAATTCAGTAAATATATCAAGTCAAAACAACATTTGCACTATTTTACATTCGTTATAGGTGTAGATACTTTGTATATGCAAGCTGCATGGCCAAGTCTGACGTTTCATTTCATTTATTTTCATTTTTAATTTATATCATGTCCATAGACGCTACTTTTTCTTTTTTTTTATGCCACAGTACCAATAATTATGTGCATATATCAAAATTAATTTAAATCTTTAAATTCAAAATAATACACGATAATTTAAGGGAGACAGCAGTACAAATAGTTCATATACTCAGATACTGTGAAATCACAAATTTTCGTGGGGGTTTAATTTTCGTTGTTTTCGTGGTATGATGAGACCCACGAATTCATATCCACCACGAAATGTAAAATGTCACACACATAAGTACTCAATAATTCTTGATCCACGAAACCAAGAAATTTTCCTCAAACCACGAAAATTTGACCCCACGAAAATATGTGATTTTACAGTAGATGCCGCACAGACTAGTCCAACGGCGCTAGAATAACAACAACGTCATAAAGAGAAATATCCTTATTCCATCACAAAATAGTGTTTTTTCCCACTTCTTATTCAACTGTAGTGTATTCGAAATTGTGCACTTCTTTCAAAAAGCGTAGAAACCTATTTTAAATCAATGAACTAAATGTATTCTTATAATCACTTGTTCTTAAGTTACTTACTCAGTATTCTTAAGTTGCTTGAATATAATTATGTTTTGTCGATGACGTCGTTTCAACCATATTAAAACAAAATTTTATGATGAGAGGTTCCGTCCGGATGGCCGACGTGGATTTAAGTTTCTGTCCATTTTTAAAACCTATCTCTTGACGTTTTACTTAATATATTTTCTATCTATACAGTACGCGATACTAAAAATAGAAATCTAATCTGTTTACTCTCTTTATAGTATGGTAGAAGAGTCGGAGGACTCTTAAAATAAACATGTCTCTGTGGCGGAGATATCGGTGGCAGTTGTCGTCCGAGCAAATTTGGAAAGAGAAAAGTAAGCCTGGCGACGTTTCAAATATAAGCAGAACACATTCGAGAGCAAAGAAATGTAAAAGGAACAGGGGCCCGTTTTTAAAAAAGAATTTACGATTAAGACCAAAAACTTTACGTTGATTGTAAAATTTTGTAAAAGTAATGATTCTGTTCAAAATTGTTAGACTAAACGTGTTATTAAATCATTTTCAAAAGATTTTTTAATTTTTTTGAATCATTGTAAGAGGAGTAGTATTAGCAGAATTTTGTTCTTAGTCGTAAGTTCTTTTGTTAACGGGCCCCAGGTCCTCCGATGATTCTAGTTCCAGCTCCTCTATTTCTGGTTCCTCTAGCTCCTCCTCAAGCTCTGTTTCTGAGTCAGATTTTGATTTATTTTGAGTTCTGCTGATAGCACAGAATTTACACCATAAACCACAAAAAAAGATACTAAAATTTGTAAGTAAGTACGCAACAAACTTATCAAATAAAAATGAAAGGCAAAATATTGCAAAGATTTGTCCTAATTCAAAAAAAAAAAACGCTTCAGAGTTAGTTTTTGGATAGATTTTTTCAAAACAAATATTATAAAAATGGAATGCCAAATTTAAAAAAAATAAAGTCAATACACAGTTGAGAATTTTGATCCTTTAGGGCCACTTTCTATTTTATGGAGCGAGACAGATCAAATAGGCAAAACGGGTAAGGGTAAGGGTCCTTCTGACGTTATTCAATTTGAAATGGGAGAGCTTTAGCCGGAATTTGCCAGAATACAAAAAATGGCGGTTTTTGGTTACAACACGAAAAGGGTAGCACATAAACGTATAACATGTAGAGCTCAAATCAGCGTTTTTAGAAATTCAATGCTTTCAGTCAAAAATCATCAAGAGCACGTACTACTGCAATCAGACAACAATTTTACCAGGATAAATGAATTTATAGGCAGACTAGGAGAGTCGTCATTTCAAGGACACGAGTTCCTTGAAATTAGATCCACAGATATTCAGTCAAGACAAGAAAGACCCTCTTTTTTACAGACATCAGATGCGATGCTACAGAATTGGAGGAACATTCTGGGTCACACTTTCCTCCTTTTCTGCTTCATCATGCCTTGCCTAGCGAAAGTGAGGAAGGAGAAGTGCCAAGTTGTAATGTAACACAGACAGGGCAAACGCAACCTTGGTTATGGTATCCTCCTCCTCCTTCAGATGTCGATAGACTTTCCAGTGCTGATACCGATCGGCTCGAGAACCTTGACTCTTCCCCTGGGGGAAGTTCACCCGTTTATCACCAACAGAACGTTACATATAACAGGGTGGAAGGTATCAGGAGACATTACACTTATTAAACTTATTGGGGTTAACAAAGAAAATAGTAACTATATTAGTAGGTTATTATGCATGGTTTTCTTATTTTAAATAAATTTTAATGTATACATATACAAGAGACTTTTTTTTCAAAACATTACAGGAGATTCTGCCTACCCACTGAAGCCTTACCTGAGGACACCTTTTCGTGATAATGGAAGGTCAACTGCCCCCCCCCCCCAGAGACATTGTAAAAGAAAGTTATCAACATCACGTCAGAATGATGAAAAAGTCATTTGCCTTCTAAAGTGTAGATTCAGAAGGCTCACAAGCCTAACCTGCTTGGATATAAAATGTGCTTGCAAAGTAATAACTGCGTGCTATGTTCTTCACAACAGATTTGCATATATTCTTTGTAAAACCTGGATTCCCTATTGTGGCTCCGCCCTACCCCCGGGGGTGATCTACACTACCTAAGGCTAAGGATGCTTCAACATAGATTTCAGCTTTTCTGGCGAAGTGTTTCTTGAGTAGAAGATTTTTTTTTTATTGACACGACCCTTTTTTTGTCTTTTCATGATTATCTCCCTTTGTAAGTGAACTTGGCCCTTTATTTTTACAATTCAAACTCCCCTCCACCCAAGGTTGCTTTCTACCAAGTTTGGTTAAAATTGGCCCATTGGTTCTTGAAAAGAAGTCGACAATGTGAAAAAATAGGGGACGGACAGTCGAAAGACAAAATGTGATCAGAAAAGCTCATTTGAGCCTTCGGCTCAGGTGAGCTAAAATCATTTAACTCGCTTTAGGGGCTCCAAAACGGGTTTCTTAGATTGCTATATTTCATCAATTTAATTTTATGGGAAAAAAGGCGATAGTTTTGTTTTTCCTTTATAAGGTTTATCAAAATCTCAGACGAACATTACATGTTGATCTGTTCGATAATAAATATATCATTAATAACTTCTCAATTATCTCATACGTGTCGATGATAAAGCCCGATGGATAAACCTATGCTTTATCCACGGGTAGATACTTTTTATCAATAGCACTTCCGGTTTTGAAACGATCCTTTGTTCAACTGAAACTTTTATTCGTAAAATTTCTTGCCCTTATAAAATGAATGGTAAAGAACAATATGTCGTTAAAATCAAGTAAAAGACTCGTATATGTCGAAGAAGTGTCTTATTTTATCAAGGACTAGGTACAGGAGCTGTACTGGCAGCGTAAAGACGAAAGGGACCCCGCCCCTCCTTTAAATCGTTTTCGGAGAAATATAAGCCTAGCAGTTCAATTTTTGATAAGATTCCTTTAACATTTTCAATAATGTTTTCTTTTATTATACTACGTATGCTTACATAATAATGTAGGTGTAAATTACCATGGATCAACAATATTTCTACAAGTATCCCCGCCTAGAACGTTTTGTATTTCCACCAATCAAAGAGTTAATTTTCACGATCCTATGGTCCTTACAACTTTCAATCAAAAGTTCGTTGTATGTAAAAATCCAGCAATTGTCATATAATGTTTTCAAATACACAGATAGCAAAAATTCAAAATTTTGAACACGATCTACTTTATTTCAAGGCATGTCAACATCAACGGTCCTACATCATGAAGTTATGCGATTTGAATTGGAAATCATTCATGTATTTTTGCAAGGGGAAGTCTCAAAGTTTTATTCAAAAGAAAGTCGTCTTTGATATCTAGAACATCTATATAATATGATTTGATATTGGCTTTTTCCAACCTCGTGAAATGATGTGTATTCGCTCGGCAAGCCTGGCAAATATATACACCATTGCAACTCGTTGGATAAAGCCAATATCAATTCACACAATATAGATATTTCATTTGGGTGCTTCGCGCCCTCAAAGAATCTTCAATTCTTACATAGATACATATAATTAATTTTCGTTCACATTCAGAAATATCTATTATTTAATGAGGGACTTGTACTTATGGCGAGAGATACTGCAGAGTTAATCAGCTTATTCCTCTGGAAATTGCATGCATTCAGAACTAAAGCGATACATGAGAAACAAACATTACATGCATGTAGCCTAAAGTCAGCGATCAGAACGGGTAACGATAAGGTTTTTCTTAAGAATGATCCAATATCTGTATCTGTCCTATAGGTCGTAGCATATATTCATCTAGAAGTGTTCTTTTATTTTAGACCAACAAAGTACAGGTTTGCAGCTTTATCAGTTTATATATCTTTTAGTATTTGAAAACAACAAAATATAATTTTAGTTTACAGTTTAGTTACAACACTTCATAGCAGAAGGAAAAATCCATCAATGTAGAACATACAAAAGTAATCTATAATGACGTAATATCGAGGAGGGGATTGTCCACTTTTGTCAACCAAAACGTTTTACTTTTTATTTCTAATTTTAAAAAGTACCCCTCCTTTCCATTTTTTTAAATAGAGTCTAACCCCCAACCCATATTTTCTTGCAGTTAGATCAGTTCTTAACATTTCAATCTTCTTAAAATGCTCAGAACTCACACATTCCCCTAATTTTTTGAAATTGGAATATTTTCATTTTTTAACAAGCCGTCTTCAATTTCTATTTTTTTGCCATTCAATCAATTTCTGTCAAACTCCACATCCTCCTTTGAAAATGCACACTACGTGTTTGTCAATAATCATATCAAAGTTAAAGGAATGCACGGATTAACACAAAAGCAGAACAGCGTCCTCATTCATTCACAGGGCTTGAAATTCTTCTTTGAATCCGAATTTGCTCAGCATGAACTAATAATCAAATAGAGAATTATACATTCTAGAAATGTTTAATCATTAACATACATGTAATTATTTCATCCTTCGAAAATTGTATGAAATTCCAAGGTCACAAAATTATATTAAACGTTAAAGGACATTTAAATGTAGATAAGGTACTTAATAGAAATACAATGTGCATAAAGAGGGAATAGATGAATAATTTTTTTTATAAATACTGTACATATAAAGAACACAATTATCAATGCTGTACTTATAATTTAAATATTATACTTAATATAAATAATATAAATACTGTATTTATAAATAATATAAATACTGCATTTATAAATAATATAAATACTGTATTTATAAATAACATACATACTGTACTTAAATAAATAATATAAATACTGTGCTTTTAAATAATATACTAACTGTACTTATAAATTAAATAAATACTGTACTCATTTATAATATAAATACTGTACTTATAAACAACTGTACGTATAAACGATGACTGATATTTACTTAATGACGTTTTATCAGCATCTTCGTCCCTGCCACAGATGTCCCGTATGTTATAAGAGGATACCATGGTTCGTCCCATGCCTTCACAGACCAGGGACCGTTGAGACAGGCGTCGTAACACCCATTCATCCACCACCCCGCTCTCCATTCAGAAGCACAGTTTATAGTTAATCTGTCGTTGTCTCTGTCAGGGGTGCTAAATGACATCCCGGACAGACTTTTGGAATTTCTTACAGGGTTTAACATTGCATCCCCTGTCAAATTAAAGTAAGATAAAAATGAAGAATATGACAAACTTATTGTCTCCACCAAGATTGAAGTCAATAAATTACGTGTATATTGGATGTGTTACCTAAAAGATTAGACAATTTATTTAAAGCCGGGTACATAGGTAATAATACTGCTTAAATACAACAGTCATACAAAATAATATGATTAAACCTAATAATACGGTGCAATGGTAAAAGAAGACAAGAAGCCCATGGGCTGCATCGCTCACCGGAGCACATGGGCTAGTTTAAAAGCACAAATCAGCTCAGTATTGAAAAGTTTACTTGTTGGGGTGGAGGGAATTGAATTTTCTATTATTTGAGCTACCTTGAAGGGTCTATGTAAAAATATCTTTCCTATATCATATTACTATGTACAACTTTGATCAGCCATAACGGCCACCCCTTACCTCGGAGGGCCATTATTTGAATCATTTTTAATTTACACCACCTAGAGGATGCTTCCTCATGAGTTTCATATTTCCTGGCACAAAGGTTCTGGAGTAACCTGATCTTAAGATATTTCCTGGCTCAATTGTTCTGGAGAAGAAAAGTTTTATTTTTCAAATATATTCCTATGTAAAAATATGATCAGTCATTGTGGCCCCGCCCCACCCCCAGGGGTCATGATTTGAACAAACTTAAATCTCCACTATCTGAGGATACTTCCGCATGCGTATCATCTTTTCTGGCCCAGTTGTTCTGGAGAAGGTTTAAAAAAGAAGCCATTACTTTTACATGATTCATAATCATCCTTCGTTTGAACAAACTTGAATCCCCTTTGCCCGAGGATACTTTGTAGCAAGTTTAGTTGACATTGGCCCAGTGGTTCTTGAGAAGAAGATGAAAATGAGAAAATTTTACATCTCCAACAACCGACAAATTTTGATCAGAAAAGCTCACTTGATCCGTAGGCTTAGGTGAGCTTAAAAGGAACAAAATCGTTTAAATGGGAATATATGTGAAAGGGAAGAACTTTTAAAAAAGGGTAATTACAGATGTAATATTCTAAATAGATACATCAAAACATACGGGACTTGAGTTCTTCTGTCTTTAAATGCGCAGTCAAACATTTTATTATTTTGTAAGATATAACAAACACAATAAAAGAAGTTACTAGTTGAACACATTTTATATATATATAGTTAAATACAATAATTTGAAAGGTTGACCTGGTACAGGAGCACCAAGTCTAGGTTAACTTAAGTAAAATGCATTGCCAGAGTACGCCAGACTTCTCTTAACGCGATTGAGATAGTTTAGTCTTCATATTTCGGATATCATCGATACATAATTAGTTGTAAGCTGGGGAGGTTTTGAACTTGAATGAACTTATCCCTGTGTGGTAGGGAGGTTAACATAGTACACACCCTTGAAAACCCTTACTGACAGGGACAAGACATGATTTGATTATATTATTAACAAGGTATTTTTCAAAAGGACAGTCCATTGTCCTGTCCTGCAAATCAGAATAAGGCAAATAATTCACAAGCCTTTAAATCCATTCAAGATCTTTCACTCGAATACGTAAATCAAAGCAAGCACGGTTTCAAAATTCAAATGTCTCATAAAATTACGTGAACACTAACAAACATCATTAAAAACGCAGTATCAAAAGAGCTTCAGCTACAATTAATACCTCAATGTGTTAAAAGTCTGGAAAACTTTACACGAGAAATCCAATATGACATAGTTTCCTTAATCTAAGTTTTAACAAATATATTGGGTACGCATCAGTTAAGCCTAACATCTATTGAAAAAAGGTTATTCACTAAACTTGATCACAGAACTGTTTACCATTTAACATCTAGACCCCAGGTCGCTATCCGTACGAGTATCTTGTGCAAGATAATAAGAGAGAGAAATTTGATGGAATTTTTACGAGAAAGAATTACAGCGGATCATTAAGGGAGACGACCTGTATACAAAGTGGAAAAAAATCTTGGGTTATACAACGCGACAAAAAGAAGAAAAAAAACATTCACGATCTCAATGTCGGGTGGAAAAGTTAGCACGCTAGTTAAGATTACTTGATACAAACAGATCTCATAGTCCTACACTAGAAATTTTTGAAAGAGAAAATGGTGTACTTTGCACAATTCTTCATCAGTCGCCCGCGTGGTGTAGTGGTTAGAGCGTCTGCTCTTGTGTCGCGAAGTAAGGAGTCAATTGTAACGTCGCGGGTTTGAATCCAACTGTGGGACGTGGAGACCGGTCCTTCGGATGAGACTGTGTAAACCTAGGCCTCGTGTCGCAGTAGGTGCTGGCACGAAAAAGATCCCTCCCTGCTCAATGGCCCTGAGAGCTGAGTATAGGACAAAATTTGAAGCTCTTCACCGGCAAGTGGTGGCGTCTCCATATGAGTGACAAATTCCCAAGAGGGACTTTAAACAATATACAATAAATCAATCATCTGCGTCATCATAACCAATATGTCCATACGAATTTTTCACGATAGAGAATATAGGATTGCCTATTTCCGTTCCTCGATGTGTGCCATCATGCCTAGTCATACCGTGATGCATCATTCACCGACAAAGAAGACTGATCGAATAGATTGATTTATTGTATGTTGTATAACGTCCCTCTCGAGCGCGTTTTTCACTCATATGGCACTCGGGTCAATTTATCTGTGAGGATTTTTGAACATGACAACATCTACCGCGACACGGGACCTACTTTTTTAAGGTCATATCCGAAAGACTTGACTTTCACTTCTAATACCGAGCTTTTAGCGAAGGGACAGTCCCTACCTATGTTTACGTCTTAGGTTTCTTGCAGTGCCGCGAATGAGAATCGAACCAAAGCCTGTCGATTACCATGCGAATACTCTACCACTTGGCTACTGTAACCGGTTCAAAAACACTGGAGGGCTTAATGATTTATTATAAAACTTAGAATAATCATCTGGAGTAGATGAAATGGAAAGGTTGTCGATTTTTCTCATATCTGACCTGACTAAGGACAAAGCGGCATGTTTTAAAATCACAGAACCTGTCGGAAAATTGAAGACCCTGCGGGTTACTCTATGAAAAGCAGAATGGGTGATATGAAAACAGAAAAATCTTCTTTTTTTCAAGATTTCTGTGACAAGAATCCAGGAGAAACAGGTGTCAAGGGTGTCTCACTGTATAAAAGAATAGAATTCATGACCATTTTCCACACCTGAGGGAAAAAAAATGAAACACGTCGTAGCCTACAAAACCAAGAAGGGGCCCTGATACAAGGGGAATTAATGGAAAAAGCCAGTTATTATATCAAAAAGATTATGTGGATATCGTAGACAAAGGATTCAACATCATGGACTGTGATTTCCGCCAGAATAATTGTTAAACAAGCTGGTTTCTTCTATATCAAGGAAGGAATAAGTGGGGTTATAAGTAGGTTAACCTCCTTATCCCACAGGAGATACTCAGTAAGTGAACTCAGATGATTTAAAACTTATGCTGCTTTTATTTGTTACTTTTGTTTTTTTTTCTTTTTCAACAATCTATTTAAGACACTGTGAAATGTATATTAATAAAGACCAGTATTTGTATTTATTTTCCTCTCTCTTTCTTCTATCTCTCTCTGATTTGTTCCTTTTTTCACTTACCTAAATTTCCCGTAGCAGGTCCCGCCAGAAACAGCTGATACTTGTCTGCTTCATCAGAAACAGAAAATTGATTGTACAACTCATATAATGTTGTACCATTCGATAGCGTGATGGAAACGTAGAGAGAGGAGTTCCTTCCCTTTGTCAACTGATGGATGACGTCATTTCCTGTATGGATTTAATTGTTGTAATTATTTGATTGTCCAGGGGAGAAGTATTTAATACTCGCATGCTTTATGATCCATAACTTATCCGTTACTACGTTTCAAATGTAGATATTGAATCGTTGTTTTTATGGGGAAAAAATAGTCTTGTAAAGTAAGCATTTGTTCTTTTATTAAATATATTATTTGTAAGGTTAAGTTTCAAGCAGTGAATAAGAATTGTCGAAATTCTACAATCTTGTTTAATGTAGGATTCTTCTCATATTTCTAATATTGCATGATTTTTACACGGAGCTGTACTTTTTCCTATTTTCACTCATAATAAAGTAGATTTAAAAATGTACAAAATGATACAAAACCAAAAAGTTTTAATCGTTTACTAAGAGAGAAAAAATACTTTTTATGGATTTTTGGCTCAAATCTGCGCTTTGATAGGAAGCGTTTAAAAGCTAACAAAGTCAGTTTGTTTGAAAAATCATATTTATTTGATATATTTTTAAAGTTTAGTCCCTATTATTAATTTAACTTACATTTGAAAATTTCTCCAAATCTTCGATTGTGGAAAAATTATAACTTAATGAATTGCTCTATTGTAATTTTGAGAGGCAGTAAAGAAGATATTTCATAAGCCACCATTCCGCCAAAAATATAGTCTCTGCTAGTTTTCAAATGCAGTTTACCATTTCTATTTAAAGTTGTATAATTTTGATAAGAAAAGAAAAAAAAGGTCTTTTAAATCCCTTAAACCTCAACACCTCAATATATAAGACATGTTAGCAAATATACTTTGAATGTTTCATCTAGTCAGAACCCAGAGAAGAATCCTGACATAAAAACAAGAGGCTTATTGGCCACATCGCTCACCTGAGAAGCTTTGACCATTTTGTTCTTGACCAGATTTCCCCCTTGTAATACATATTGCGACCCCACCCTATCCAATGATCATAATTTAGACATTTTGAAATCTACACTACCCCAGAATGCCTTCATGTGCACAAAAGTATCAGCTTTTCTGGCCCAGTGATCTTGAGAAGATTTTCAAAGATTTTTCCTAAATATTTTTATGTAAAACTTTGATTCCACATTGTGGCCCCGCCCTACCCACGGGGGTCATGATTTAAAGAATTAAGAATTTAAACTACCCCAGGATGCTTCTACATAAGTTTTAGCTTCTCTGGCCCAGTGGTTCTTGAGAAGAAGATTTTCAAAAAATATACATATATCTGTGTAAAACTTTGAATCCCAATTATGGCCCCGCTCTACCCCCGGGGGTCATGATTTGAACAACTTAGAATTTACACTACCCCAGAATGCTTCCAAATAAGTTTCAGCTTTTCTGGTCTAGTGATTATTGAGAGGAAGCTTTTTAATGACCCCACTTTATTTTTGTCTTTTCTTAATTATCTCCCCTTGGTAGGGGACTTGGCCCTTCATTTTAACAATTCAAATTTCCCTTTACCCAAGGATGCTTTGTGCCAAGTTTGGTCAAAATTGACCCAGTGTTTCTTGAGAAGAAGTCAAAAATGTCAAAGTTTACAGACAGATAGACAGACGGACGGACGACGGACAAATATGATCAGAAAAGCTCACTTGAGCCTTCGGCGCAGGTGAGCTAACTAGATCATGATTTACTGTCAAATTTGAAAATACAGTACAATGTTCATTTAAAGAAATCTGCAGCGCATAAAAGATTCGAATTTACCTATCCAAACATTCTGCTCAGGTGCACCAAAACCATCCTTATAGTCAGCCCAATTCTTTTCAAAGGACACGGACCCGTCTATTCGTTTTTGTATGGTCTTGAAAAGATAAATATACATAAATAAAGCCTTAAAAGGATTTGCCAATGTCATTTAATAATCACTTTATCTGTCTATCCATCCGTCTGTCATTCTTCTATCAACAACATTTCTCCTTATTAAGGCACCCCGAGTTGCCTTTTCCTAATTTTAGCTCTGTTGGACAGAGACATTAAGAGCCTAGGCGATAATAATGCGTCCGTCGTCCGTCCGTCTGAATTTTTTTTCCTACTCTTACAAGTTTGGTCTGATTTCAATATAATTTGGCATTCTGTGTATCGATTTTTTTTTATTTCGATGAACTGTATTGTCCTGATTTCTAAAAATAGAAATTTCTGTATAATGCTTTCGTAATGCTACTTCTATAGTTTTGGTCTGATTTCAATATACACATGTAACTTTGCACACAAAGCAACTAAACTAAGGCTCATAAATTTGTGCATCGCTTTTTGATGAACGGTGTTGCCGTGGAAACTAAAAAAAATTGTAAAATACTATAACAACAGGCCCATGGGCCTTATAGGTCACCTGAGTATCATGCAACAACTTTCCAACAATTGAATTTGATTCATGTTTTAAACTAAAGGCCATGAATTCACAATTTTGAAAGAGGCACCATTGTTTATCATAATTATACACTCAACATGCTTATTTTGGTTACTTAAAACCCAGAGGAAGATCAGAGTAACAAAGAGAAAATGCATTTCCACTATATTGAATTTCAGGGCCCCTGGGTCAGGGCTTCTTCTGTTAGGGCGGGTCCACAGTTAAACTCCCAATCCCACAGGAACCACTGACCCTGGGACCACATCTTTCAAAGTTTTGGAATTTTTTTTCCATCATACTGTTGATTAATTCCAAAGTGCAGACTTCAAATTATTAAATTATTTCAGACTATGTTACAACCCCCCCCCCCCCCCCCCCCCCCCCACCCTAAAAAAAGTACCTCTGTCCCAACGGATAAAAAAATGACCAATTTTGGAAGACGCAGGTTTTTTTCCCATAAATATATACTAAGATAATTGGCATTACAAGTATACCTAATAACAAAGGATTTGATTTTCAATGATGTCAAGCATTTTCACTATATAAACATTAGAGCCCCCCCCCCCCCCAAATCTTTAACCAAGGGAGTCGTGAGGGACACTGACATTCAAAAATCTCAAAGAGGCATTCTTCCTCCTCATAACTATGTACATAGTTCACTGGTTAAATACTCAGGTGCAGAAAAGAAGAGTTTAAAAGAATTAATGCATTTTCACTATATATTCAATAAAGCTCCACCCGAACACCAGAACCCCCAACCAAGGGGCCATTAAATTCACATTTTTTGAAGAGGTAGCCTTATTCAACATTACTATGTCCTTGGTTAGTTTATTTTATACTCGGGAGCAAAGAAGATTTTCAAAGAAATAATTATTTTTTTACTATATAATCTATATACAGTAAAACTCATTTAGTACGAACACGGATATTGCGAATTTACGGATATGGCGAAGTCATCTTGAATTCCAAGGTATATGAAATTAATGATTTTCTTATACGGTTATAACGAATTACGGATATAGAGAAGTAATTTTATAGGTCCCAGTGACTTCGTTGTAACCGAGTTTTGCTGTACCCCGTCCTACCACTAGAACTCCCGACCCTTTGGCCATGAAATTCACAATTTTGAAAGATGCAACCTTATTCAACATAGTCATGCACTTGGTTAGTTTATTTAATGCCCTAGAACAGCATTTTCGCTAGCCAAGGGTTTCTGATACGCTACTCTCCTCATGAACCCTTGGCATACAGTGAAGTCAAAAGACGGGATTGTTTTCCGTCACGTGATCTCGAATCTATCAGGTACGCACAGATTGCGTCATCGACAGAAATAGAGACACGTGTTTAAAAAAAATTAAATCAAAGTTTTTTCAAGAATACTTAAGAAGCAATAATTGAGTTATGTTTATTCATTATTTATAGAACAAATCTGAAGCTTCAATATAGATTCTTAATAACATATTTAGAAGATATTGGATGACACCATGGCTATTCATAGAATTGAATGTTATCTTACGGATCGTTGTTTACTTGCGTTTTTCATTTCCGAGATTAAAGAGTGAAGATGTATCCCGAACGCAAATATCGTCATTTACAAAAAACAATTGCTGATTTGTCGACCTGGGTGTGCTGAAATCCAATCAGAACTCTGGAAAAAAAATCCCAATTTCTATGAACACCGTAGGCCAAGGGTTTATGAGGAGAGGAGCGTATCAGAAACCCTTGGCAAGCGAAGATGTAGAACAGAAAAGAAGAATTTCAAAGAATTTTTGCAATTTTACTATATAATCTATATAGCCCCACCCTACCAATAGAATCCATGACCCTGGAGCCAATAAATTCACAATTTGAGAAGAGGCAGTCTTATTCAACATAACTATGTACTTGGTTAGTTTAATAAATGCCCACAAACAGAAAAGAAATAATGCATTTTCACTTTATAACCTGTTTAGCCTGTTTAGCCCTGCCCTAGCACTAGAACCTCTGACTCTAGGGCCATGAATTTCACAATTTTGGTAGAGGACTCAATGCTAACTACAGTCATACCAACAGTTTAACTGCTTGATGTCGAGGAGTAAAAAAGATTTTTAAAAATCGCACTAAATTTAGAGTCTTTTGCCCCACCCCCCAGGGGAGCAGTGACCATGAAATTCACAATTTTTATTCCCCTTCACCCATAGGTGCTATATGCTTAATTTGGTTGAAATTGGTTCAGTGGTTTCAGAGAAAAAAGCTAAAAATGTTCAAATGTTAACGAACGACGACGGACAACAATAGGTCACCTGAATTTTCTCAGGTGACCTAAAAATGCTATTCCAAATACAGTTTTAGTCTTATTTATAATAGAAAGTTGCTGCAATGCATCTGGACTTCACTAAGATACATTTTTGTCTTTTAAAATATTTTTTTCATGAATGATGTAGCCATGGTGACTCATTAAAATATCATTTAAAGCCACTCCTTCATTACAGTTTTGGTGATGTTGCTATATTGCCACAAAGAGTGATTTAATCAAGGTTAGACATTCTATTTATTGCTGTTGTAAAGTTTGAGGTCCCAACTGCTACTCTTCTCTTCCTTTGTTGTAAGTATAAA